ATTGGACATAGGGACTAAGAACCCACAGAGTATATTTCTGTGTAGTGGTGGTGGGTGGTGTGGCCACCAGCTACCCAGTGACTCTGAGCTATCTCTTCAGTCCCTGATGGGGACGAGGGGACCCAAGCCTTCCCAGAGCTGCCAAGTGGGCAGAACTACCCAGCCCTGAACGCCTTAGGTGTAAGACAACCGTTCTCCTGAGAGAATGTGGGAAATGTCCCCAGAGTCCTGGCGACCTGGGCAAAAGGCTCCCTCTCTGAGGCTCGGTTTCTACCTGGACCTGCAGATTCAGTGTTTGTGATCCTACATCCTCTGTGCTCTGGCAGGCTGTCTTCCCGACGCAGTTAGAAAACTGCTTATCATCCCGTCACGGCTCTGTGTTGGGCCGGATCTTTCTCACCCATGTGAAAAACTACGACCTGCCTAGTCACTTTCAGACAATAAAAAGTTCCCTTTTTTCCCTGAGACGCAGAAAAGCCATCATTTTAATAATTAATAGGTTTAGTTCAGTGAAGGAGTCAATATGGAAAACCAGTTCCAGGTAGCTCCTCATCCTGCCTCTACCCCCGCACCCTCCAAGTACCGATTGTCATCAGGGACTGACCCTGCTTCCTTCTCCACACTTCTGAGGTGCACAGGGTTATAAACAGCCACCACTAGAACTCCTAGTACCCTTTTAAAAAAAGGCATAGTATTACTCTGTAGCCCAGACTGGCTCCTAATTCATGTCCCGACTGATAAGATCACAGGTATGAATGAACCATCACACCAGGCTCTGAGCATGCTCTTCTTTGGAAGTTTGTCCATCAACTTACAGCCATTCATGATGTCAACCTATCACTTGGTGAGGGGATTATGGGGTGCTGATGGTATTTCTGGCATGTCTGTCACAGTTTTATAAGGGCAGCAGTGGTGGGGTTCTCTCCCAGCACTTTGTAGAAGAAATTGCCACTGTAAGGCCTGGCACGTCTAAGAATCAAAAACATTTGTGTTGACGTTTTTCCCCTCAGGAATGGTGGCCTGAGTGTCATGACGCATCTGGCTTAGAAGGGAGGGAAGGAGGAGGGAGAGGACCAGGAGGAAGAGAGAAAGGGAGAAGGAAGAGAGAGAGAGGCAAAAAACAGATATGGGCTACAAAAGGAAAAGTCCCTTACTGGACAGAGACTTTTCTGCAGATGGGACCAGAAGCAATGTCCTAGGTTGAGGAGTTGAAGGGAGGATTATTGGACACTTCACCCCTGGGCCTAGATGGGGTTGCATCTCTCTCCTCACTGCCTGTGAGATGTGATCCCAGATTCCCAAAAAGACGTGATCCCCTGCTGAACTGGGCCTGCTTTTTACTACCCTGGAGGATCTTAGAGAGTTCCAGGGTAGGGGCACTGAGGCAGGATATGCCAGCCTCACTGGGAGTCACAATTCTTTTCTGTCCTCCCTTGTCTGGGGAGTGGGGCATCTCCAGCCCATAGGCCCTGAACATCTGCGTCTCCCAGGTTATCGAGAGTTCAGGCATGGGAAACCGAACCCCGCGTCACCATCTGCTTGAACTTTAGAACTGAAGAATAATCAGGCATTTTACACCCAGAGGATGAGCAGAATGCCACAAAGGCTGATGCTACCAAGAGTGACAAGGACGGGGAACAATGGAGACTTTCACCCTTGGTGAGAGTAGGGGGGGGGGGGTCCAGGCTTCGCCTGAATCATGTGTACACAATGCAGGGGTCCTCTTAGTGTGGCAGGATCCTGGAAGACAGCTGAGTGGGTGTCAGTGTCTGATGAGTTTCCTGGGAAATCTACTGGTGGGATGTGTCAATTAGAATGACCCTCTGGGACAGCATGGTGGTGACAAATGAGAAACGGAGACGTCCATGCCCTGTGACCCTTCAGCAAAATTCCCACACATTCGGGGAGAAATTCCCAGCAAGAGTTCCAAGTACGTTCCTGCCAATGTCATCCACAGCAGCTAAAAGTAACAAACTGAAAGCAGCCAGACTATCCAACAATGGAAGAATGGATTAAAGAAAAACAGCAACAGGTATAACTCTCAAAGCATGCTGGGAGCTGCAGAAGGGCACACCCAGTGTGATATGATTGTCACAAGTGTAAAACCATCAAACAGCACTGTGCTTATAGTCGTACACACGATGGAGTCTGAAGAGCACTGGAATGATGAACATTTTCAGCCTTGGCTTTTCCTGAGGATGGAGAATGGAGAGAGCACGAGGGTCGGAGAGACAACATAGCAGATCGTTGTGGAGCCTTAAAACCAAGAAGTGAGTAAGAGAAAAGAACTGAGAAAGATGGGCAGTTATTATACGGATGCTTGATAAAGTGTTATGTATACCTTTCTATTTGATTTGAAAATTTCCTGATATCTTTGCTTTTTAAAAATTGAGGTGAGCTGGGTGGGTGGTGGTGCACACCTGTAATCCCAGAACTCGGGAGGCAGGGGCAGGGATCTCTATGAATTTCGAGGCCAACCTGGTCTACAGAGAGAATTTCAGAACAGTCCAGAGTCAAGATTGTATGGAATCAAAAAAAGAAAAAAGAAAAAAAATGAAAATCATGTATCACAAACATCTAAAACTGATGAGGTCAGTGGCATTCTGCACATTCATGGTATTCTACAACCACCGCCTCTATCTAATTAAAAAACATTTCACCAGCCGAAAAGGAAACCCCACACCCACTGAGCAATTGCTTTCCAATCCCTGTTCCCTTTAGTCTCAGACAAATCACCAGTCTGCATTCGGTTTCCATGGTTTTACAATCTGTGGGTACTTTATGTACATGGAATCATACAGTATGGAGAAATGTTGGTCCAAGCCATTGCCCATTTTATCATCGTGTTGTGGGTGTTGACTTAGAGTATCCTACAGTTGAAGAAAACACCCCTGACACGGTCAGTGCCTCTTCCAGCCTTTTAGTTTTCCAGCCCTCCATCAAGACACATTGCTTCATGTGTACGGTCTGTGCTTGGGAGCACGTAAGGGATGGTGTCTGCTGTCTTTCTTCTCTCCCAGGGCACCCCAGCCCTCATCTATAGAGGAAGAAAGATTCAGCGATAGTAAGTGAGACACCGGAGGTTTCTCGAGACAGTGACAGGCGTGGGAGGGTGGGCAGACACAGGGCGATGGCTAAGATGGAAGAGACAAGCGAAAGGGGAGGATTCTGGTCAAGGGGGATCTCTGGCAATCCCTGCTGCCACACAGAAGAACGGAGCGCACATCAGTGGGGGTGCATTTTCACCAAACAAGCAGTGCTGAGATTTTCCATGCTCACCACTCTCTTTACAAGGATGTTGGGTCCTCCGGTCCTCTCTGTGGCTTTGCTTATCCTGCCTGGCTGGGCTGTTGCTACCCTCAGACCAGTCTTTCTGTCATACTGAGTAATTAACAAGCGGAGTGAGTTCTTGTGGACCTGCCACCACCAAAGCGCCCCCCACCGTGTGTGTGTGTGTGTGTGTGTGTGTGTGTGTGTGTGCGTGCGTACGTGAGAGACTGTGAGAGAGAGAGAGAGAGTGTGTGTGTGTGTGTGTGTGCGTGCGTACGTGAGAGACTGTGAGAGAGAGAGAGAGAGAGAGAGTGTGTGAGAGAGAGAGAGAGAGAGAGAGAGAGAGGAGGCTACAACTGGAGTATGCAAAGAACAATAAAGCCCCACTGCCGTCTTCTCTAAAGATTCTTGGCATGCCGTTCTCCAACAGCAGTTACTAAAGGCTATGATACTTTTGCTTAAAACCCTCCCTGCCCCTTCATCTCTCAGGTTGAGACACACTCTCTTGTCAGGTCTCTGTGGTTCCTCTTTGTAGAATTCCCAAGACTCATCCGTTATTTATTCCCAGGTCCCAACATAGGGCAAACATAGGCTAAGAGATGACAGACAAGACAGGCACCCAGGGGGCTCTTTCCCATATGACCAGGTTCCTGTGTCAAATACATCCAGTTGGCCTTGTTCCAGGGCTTGTCTGGCAACCGTGGACATAGGAGGAACTCAAGGAAGCTGGAAGGCTTGCCAAAGACCTGGATGACCTTGGGTCTACCTAGGTGCTCCTTCCTGTTTGTAAGTTGTGGAGCTTGGCTTGGTGTTGTGCAGGGAGACTTACACACATTACTGCCTAACCTTGGCCGTGGTTTACGCCTGGGGTGTGAAGTCACTTCAGAAACACCCAGGTTTGGGTTCAACTCAACACTCATCTCAATTCAGTGACACTCCTGGTTGAGGGAACCTATTAATGTCTTTGGCAGCCACATCCTCCCTTCCCAATCATGCTGTTAGAAGCCGGGATCCCATTGTTAAAATCACCTTCTACATTTTCTTTTCCAAGTCAATGTTCCACACAAAGGATTCTGTGTGGTGGTGGGAGCACAGAAGACGCTATCTTCACATCCACAGAATAAACAAACACCCCCCTGCCCAGGTAAGAGCTAGAAGCCCCTGGAGACTTGAAACCAAAGGAGGTCTGAAGCCTTGTAAACCAGAAGTCCACACTAGGAAACTTTCTCCAAGCTACTGGGGCGGTTCTAGAATGTGAAACTAGAAGAACCCAGCCTAGGTGCAGAGTCAGCTCAAGGTCAGTCAAAGGAAACCACAGAATTCGCCTCTCTCTCCTCCCTGCCCTCACAGGGCACAGGACTGCAGCCAGGCAAATGCCGGCCACTATTTTTCTTACTCCTTGATCAAGTTTGCCGCAGAAACAAACTCTTCCCAAAAACTTCAAAAGGCTGAAAGAGTCTGTCTGTCCCAAATCTCTCTGTCTACCGCACGGAGGGAGTCTTTGGTTACCTTTGTTTACTTAGACTCTGGGTGGAAAAAGCTGGGCACCTTGTAAGGAAGCTGCACTCTCAGGGAAGAAGTTTCTTTGCACCTGCCTGCAGATCGATCCGCTATTTGAGAAAGGAACTGGTTTGACCCCCTCGGTGCTGCTAGTGTGGCCAAGCTCTAGAGGGAGCAAGCAGCATAATCCACCCCATCCCTTTCCCAGCGCAGGGCGCGCTACCACTCACAAACTCAAAGATGAAGAGCAAGTCAGGGAAGGTGACGAAGACCGAGAAGCCACTGGGCAGGGAGCTGCCACCCGAAGCCGCTGCCGGGGCCATGCCTGCGAGCTGGCGTCGGCCTTGGGACGGGACACGCGCACCTCCGGCTCACTGCTGACCACTCGCTCGCTCCGCAGAGCACAGTGGCCGCGGCACCCTCGCGCGCGGGTTAAGAACTGAAGCGCCTGGGTCAGAGGAGGGCGGAGCTCCGGCCACCCGCCCCGCCCGGGTACACTGCTTCAGGGGACAGGGCTGAATAGCCGCGGGCACCGCCCTGAAACCCAACGGGGTGCTCTCTGAGGATCTGCGGGGCTGGAGTGGGTGTCTGGACTCTACTGTAAAACCCCGGTGCCACCTGCCTGCAGGGAGCGGGTGGAGAGGCTTTGGGGCGGCACTTCCTTGTGTCGCACTTCAGGCAGGTGATCACTATCCATCAATAACCCATCCGAACCCCCAACCCATTAGGCACCCCATCTCTTTAACTCCAATTGGGTCTCCAGTCTTCCCTGGGTGCATTAATGTGTGCAACCTTCACGTCCAGTTTCGGAGGGCACATTCCCAGTTTCGATCTCAGCTGCAGGCTGGGGGTTATAGGGGCAACTGGGAGACTTGGCAGGAGATCTACTTGCCAGAGGAGGAAAGGGGGTAGCTCTTGGGGGCTGAGCCTGGGGGCTGGCTGACCGTGTTGGTGAGGTAACAAGCTGCGGTTGCATCCATGGTACAGACATGACCAGGGAAGATGCCCGCAATCGAGGGATGGGGTAGACCTCCCCCATTCTGTGTCCTTTGATTCTTTTGACTGCCAAGTTGTTTGTGGGGTTTCCTCCTCCTGTACCACAATTTTACGTTTTATTTTTGCCTTTATTTTTAAGCAAGTATCATACCTTGTTAGCCGCCATTTCTATCACACTAATACTTGCCTTCGCGTTACATTTAACGACCTCTCAACCTCCAGCTCAGATTCTGAACTTGACACCCTCCAAGCCCCAGCTTCACCCCCAGTTGCCACTTCTGTGCAGGGTTGTGTGTGTGTGTGTGTGTGTGTGTGTGTGTGATCCATCCCACTTTCTCTTCACACAGCCCTTTTCCCATTCAAATCCTACAAGAAGTACATTTCTGGCTGTATTTTTCAAAAGCAAGACTATGCCCATCAATCAGCAGATCAGAGCAACTGCTTATGGGAAAGGACTGGAGTAGGAAGATCTTCTGCTCTAGTGTGAGCCTCTCCAGATGGTCAGCTTTGGTGACTTGTGAGTGAGTGCCTCCACCAAGTCCCCAGGTCCTCAGGACCCCAGGTCAAGACCTCTAGACATGATGGGCTGGGAAACTGTCAGGACACCTGACAATAGGGGACTATGTCTTCCATCTGGGCAACCTTTTAGTCCCACTGGCTCCTAAGAGAATGTCCCTTTCTCCTAAGGAGATTATAGTGGAGACAAGCCCAAGCAAGCCGGCCACAGAAAGCCACCACCAGCTGGCTATAAGATGGACCCACTAGCAAATCCAGTTGAAGCTGGTTGGCAATTTCTAAGGGGTGTGTCCTGACCATAAATACCCACAAAGGCGCTGTTGACTGCACCCTGGCATTGAGGGCCTCTGGTTTGGTTTATTTCAAACCTTTGTTGCTAAGTTCTTCACACTTGAGCTAATAATCTAGGGGGAAAGTCTTGGTATGCTCAGGAAGACTCAGCAGTTCCAACCCTGCCTCCTGTAGGATAAAGGGGAAGTTCTCTGAAAGAGTCCAGAGGGAGGATTAGGAGGAGATCATCTTGGCCAAGGTCAAAAAAATTTGCCTCCATCTTGGTGACCTCTCTTCTCACTTGATGCCTTTTGCTGATTCTTGACGTCCAGACCAGACTCTTCCCAGATCCACTTTCCCTAGAGCAGCCTGCCCAAACCCTTAGCCCAACAGTGGCCCAATAATTGAAAACAAGTAAGCCCGAAGCCTCAGTTCTGTCTGAGCCCACTCACAAAGGAAACACTAGAATAGCTCATTTGAATAGAAAGCCCGCTGGCAGTGTGGAAAGGGAAGTCTTCACTTTGAAATGCTAATTTTTTGTTTGCAAGACTTAGAGGGCTCTTTTGGAAACCAGGAATTCGAGAATGTCTTTTTGAATTTGTTCCTCCCCAGCTGTGTGAAAACGCTGCCTAGTCCTGGGCAGGAAAAAGGCAGTTTAGAAAAATAATATAAGAAAAAGATGATTTCATCTTTATCTAGAGTTTCTATGCTATCCTGTTGGGACTTGGCCAGGATTGGGGCAGATCAGAGATCTTACAGAGCTTGGAGAATCCCAAGATTGCACGGCTCTGGCTGGCCAGCGAAGACAGACAGGGGTACAGAAGTGCAGGAAAGGACATGAGGACAGCACTGATCGAGCAGAAGGCAGAGTGCAGCAGGCCCTTGGTGCAAGACCTTGACTCCTGCGACTCCTGCGCTGCCGTCGAACAACTGTGGGCAAGTGTGAGAACCACTCACCTTTCCTAGGGAAGACACGAACTCACGCCAGATAGGGTACCAATAACAGACAGCATAACAATCCCGCACAAGGATAATTTGGTGAACCAGTGGGGAGAGTAAGTGAGTAACCCCAAAAGTTCCATATCACCAAAATGTCCCACACTTGCATAGATAGTGTTTTCCCCATAGCTGCGTAATTGGAATCCCTCTCTAAGCTCTGAGCTGCAGGGTCCTCGCTAAGATGGTAAGACTTACCGCTGGGGCTGAGTTGTCTTCTCAGACGGAACGTCAGTTGGGGCCATCTTCCTTTCTCTTATGGTGTGGTGTGCCTCCTTCATGAATGTGGTCCACCAAAGGAAGACAGGAACATGCCGAGAATGGAGGATGGAACCCAAGAGTAGATTTCAGTTTCTGAAAGTGATGAACAGGGAACGGGATTGTAAGGGACCTGTAGAAGTTGCTTTGTTATACTGTGAGTGAGGCTGTCAGACTGAAGCTGAGCTGTCTGTACCCAGAAAGAACTGACCCATGTAAGGGAGGAATTACAAGAAGTTGTCTATAGCCATATCACCCTGAATGTGCCCCATATTTATTGTCTGATGGCAGAAGCTAAGCAGAGTCGGGCCTGGTTAGTTTTTGGATGGGAGAATTACATGAAAAAGGCATGTGGAGACATTCCTCAACACTGTCCTCTGAAATGACATGAAAAGTTGGAAACGAGGTGGGGGGATGAGATGGAGGTGTGTGCTTGCTATGTGTTAAAGCTAAGAATACAAAAAGGAAAGAGATCACAAATTAGATCTGTTGGGTTGGGGGGGGGTCTTGTAAAGATGGGGACAGACCACCAAAGTCTAATAAACCAGAAGCAAACTTTATTCCAGAAACCAGAATCTAGGAAAAGGTAAAAATAAATAAATAAATAAATAAATGAGTAAATAAATAAATAGAATCTCCATGGGGCACAAAAAGCTTATCAGTTAGCTGAGACCACAGCCAGAGATGGATTTTGTTAAGCTTGTGGCCAAGGCCGGTTTCTGAACCCACCTTTTTATAGTAGGGGCACCAAGCATTAGGTCTGAACAAAGGAATTTTTACAATCTCAAGGTAAAATTCAGATGCAGATTGCCTTACTTTACAATCTCCATTAAGGGAGTTTTTCAGTTAAACTAGTGTTTGCACTTAATCTATTCTCTTCCCTGGTATTTTTAGGGGGTGTTTACTGAAGCCCTGTGATCTCCTCTTCGATGCTGCCAGTTTCACATAGCAGGGATAATGCATGACCCAGAGGTCATATATCCATCTCCTAAAAGCTGACTCAGCTCATATCCGTAAAGTTGACTCAGCTCATATCCATAGGTTAGCTCTCAGTTTGCAGAAAGATGCTTTGGCCTTGTAAATAGAACTATGGGTTGTAAAGTGGAGTAACCCACTGTTAATAGTTAATCCTCAAGCTGCTGAGAAAGCTGTTGACAGTCTGCTCTCATTCTCTTAGGCTTACAACTTTCCATTTCTTTATTTCTACATTCTTATTTTTGGAATCTGCATTTTTATATTCTTATCCTTGGACCCTTTAAGATCTGTGCTGAATAACCCGTCCTGCAGTCTGAAAACTTAGAGTCCCTGGTGATAACCGTGAGGCGAAGACAATGAGGTTACAGTGTGAAGGAGGTGAGCATGAGAGGGGGTACGGGTGCCCAGTTCCCCGAGCGAGGCTGGACTTGTATTCACCAGAGCAGAGGTTTTCTAGGCTGCACTTGGCTACTTGCTGATGATCCAGGTACTTCCTATTTATAAAAACCCAGGGCCATTGCTAAGGTTCTAGAAAGATACGGAAAATTAGCTCTAATCAACAATTGGCTGCAGTACCCTCAAGCCTTCTGAGCGGTACAACAAGCATCTCATATCTAGAGTGGTTTGGGGCTTTTGTCTAACTACGTCGTGGCCTAGGACAGAATTCTCCAAAGCAGAAACCGAGACGTTAGATGGTTATGTAGCATGAGTCAGAAGGAGGTCACCTCCTGCTTGTGTAGAGGTCGGGAAGGAACAGGTTTGGGGAGAGGGCCATGTTCAGGGAAATATCCGGGCAGCAGAAACTACCAACAAACAATAGCAGCTACAATTTGGTTTCGGGGTTTCGAGAAAGGTAAGTTCCAGTTTACTGATGGCGTCATAGGCTTAGAAGGTTAGGCAGCTAGCTGTTTGCGTCCACGCTGAGTGGTAGCTGTGGGTCTGACTGATACTCGCCTGTAAAGTTTTAGGTACTTGATTAAGACCTCATCAATACTCCCCAAAGACCATCCCGGCCTCCCAAATTCAGTCTTGGTTATCTCAGACATGACCCTGGGCGCTTGTTCCCTGAGGCATCCCAGCTCATCAATGGGGCTATGGACCTTTTATTTTCCATCTAGGAGCTCATGGAAGTTGGTAGGTCAACATGCCCACTATGGAGAGAGAAGCTGTTTGCTGGCCTGAGAGTAGATGGCTACCTTGGGTAGGCCCTCACTCCAAGGGATTTTATTTCTCACCAGTTGCCCACAGCTACAGGTATCCCTGCATAGCATGAAGGCTGAGGGACCCTGCTGGGTCGATGGCTTAATGACTATCACAACGACCTGAGCTTTGCAGGTTAGGGGAGCTGATATTACAAAACGCTGTGGTCAGTAGACACTTAGCCGAGATGATGTTTCATGATATCCAGAGCCATTTTGTT